ATTTATATGAATCTAATAAAAACTCAATTTTTAAAAAAATGTAAAAATGGGCTGTTTCTATTGTCCGCACCCCATATAGTCATTATGCAATTATTGCATATTAAAGATTTTTAGATTTTGTATTATATCAATATGTATTTTGTATTTTAAGAAAACATTATCCTTACAGTCTTAAACCTTTACAGTGAAAAATAAATAAATAAAAATATTAATCACATAATAATTGTTTAGTAATAATAATAAAAATAAAGCTTAAATCATTTCTATCGTTACCTTTGATCTGTTTCAACTTGGACGATAAATGACTTTGGTTCGATATTTATTATAGAAAATAATGATTGGAGCGTCGCAGTATTCGAAATAAGAGAAGATTCTATAAGAATTAAAGTTACAAAATTAATATTGTTCAATCATAATTAATATTGATAAAAAATTTTAGAGAGCATTTGTAAAAATAATACCAATCATAGAAGTAACATAAGGTATTTTTTCACGCTCTGGAGAAAATCCAAAATAATTTTTCCGGCTTTGTGACATAAGATATTTTATATTTCTTGTTATTTGAATATTATAAGACTGTCTAGCAAAATAAGAAATTAACACCACTACTACTACTTCTGTAGCAATGCATAAATAATAATTTAAAATAAAAACTTGCTTGATTTGACGATAATTTATATGTATTTATTTTAACTACTGAATCCAAAAACATTGAATTTTGTTTTTCAAATAATTTAGATCCATAAATTTTATAAAGTTCTATAAACAAATTTAAATTAGTTTATTATAGACTTTATTTAAACACAAGAACCAAAAATTAACCTGAATCAATCGCTTGAATATTTATAGACATTGATGGATCACTCGCATTGTAAGTGGCATCATCAATATAAATCATAATTCCCATGTTTTTCAGCCCTTCATTAGAACTTGTTGAAAAAAATACATCTCCATTTGTTTTAAAATTACCATCGTATTTTGAGGTGGTGCTCAATTCAGGCTGTCTTATGTATTGGGCACATGCTTTATTATCTTCGCGTGTATTATTAGCTTGTTTATTGAATAAAGATTTTAATTGTACCATTTAAGTAATCATAGCGGTATATAACACTCAAATAATTATACATACCAGCATATGTGAAATAACAATTTAAATAAGATTTTTTGGGAATATTTGAAATCATTAACACTATAAATTTTATAAATTTGTTATAAACAAGATTGTTAACTTGTTAATAATTAAGTCTTCATAATTTCAAAAATCTAGAATTTACCTGGAACCGGCAATGAATTTGTTTCAATAAAAGAAGTTTGAATAGATGGATGATCATTGCGAATATCCAAAATCAAAAATATGGAGTATCCAACCAGAATGATTCCAAATAGTGCCGTTACAATAAGTCGTAACGAAAAGACAGACGTAGGTTCTGTCTTACGATTGTTTTGAAATATTTTTCCAAGTGCCATTCTTATACAAGACTTTCGCTTTTCTGTATAGGCAGTAATAATTTATATTGCTGTTGGTGACGATACACTATTCTGACTATATATATGTATATGTATATATATTGTAACATTTAATTGTATTAAAAAAAGTAATTCTCATATTTTGCACTAAACGTATTTTTTGGTTACACCTTTTACACCATGCAAATTGTTTTTTTTATCTTTTTTCCTTATTAGGAATCAAAATGTATCCACTACGCTCTAATGGGAAACAACCAATCAGAGAGTTTATCCGCCCAAACATTATACATAAAACTTCCGTAGTCCCGTGATTTAAACTCTATCTAACGTCTTAATACTGTAATATTAATATTAATGCTGTGTTGACGATCTTTTTGGCAATGAAATTTAGCGCAAATCATCACGGAATTTTATGGGAAGAGAATCCAAAAGAAGAAAAAAAACAAAAATTTCACATATTGATACACTTTATTCCTACTTCCTCCCGAACTAACTTCCTAACCTTAAATTTCTAACTTTACGTATCTAGGTTGCTTTCGTACTAAATTTCCATTTTAAGTAAATTCGATATTAATTATATACAATATTATTTTATTTTTTATTGTTATTTTTGTTATACAATTATCGTACTGACATGCTGTAACTACCATACCAAATTTTGATCATATTTTATAGGGGGTTTTTTTTTCTTTTTTCCGTTCTAAAACTAATAATATCATAAATAACCAATAATTTATAAATATTGTGTATACGTACGTACGTAGATATTTCTTACATAACGGTAATTGATCTAAGTATGGTAACACCTTATCGTTGTCTCCTGTTTGCAATTTAATGCAAAGATTGTTATATATCTAAATAAGGTAGCACCTTATCTCCTGTTTGCAATTTAATGCAAAATTTTTATGTTCTGTACACTAAAACAAACATTGTTACCAATCCGGGTAAACAATAAATTTCGCCTTATCGTTATAGTAAAATTGATGATTCTGCAAATTCGGAGAATATAGAAACTTGTTGAGGTTTGTGCTAATGTATTACTTACGTACTTACTTATATTATAGCATTATACATGTGCTAAGAAAAATTATTTTCGATAATGAATTTTTCTTTTATAAATAAATTCTTTTATTAATAACGAAAAATTCAATTATAATTTTTTATACACCAAAATGCTTGAAAATTTATTAAAGTTATTTCAAAAATATCGCAAAACCGAACCAACATCATTATTTATATTGAAAAATTTCGTGTTAACATTACTTTTTATCGCTTTACTTGGATACACTTGGTTAATAATTTGGGGCATTTATGATGATAATCCTGTCATTCAAAATTCTTTAGAAGAAACAAATTATATTCCTGCTCCAGGTGACTTTAAGTTCAGCATTAAATAAAATTACGGATCAAGTTTATTAACATTTTTAATTTTGCAGTTGTTGGCTCTCTTACGGATCAACAAACAAATATAAGTTGCCATTTTGTAGATGCTAGTAAGTATTAGGTGTTGAAATCTCAAATTCTTTTTTTACGCGCTAAATTTAACAATACTCGCACACTAGGTGGTAGTCACGATTGTAATCAATATGTAGCGTATGGTGTTCTTGCTAATGGGAGGTCTATGGGTGGTTTTTTGGCAAATGATTTAATGTTTTCCTCGGTACCCAATAATGGAATAAGCTCTCTGGAATTTAAGATTTATTTGAACGATACTAGGTTTAATATGAGTGATAGTATGACACTACCATTCATTGTTTTTAGTGTTAATGAAGTAGGTTAGTATCTCATTACTATCGTACAAATGAAATCTATTCTTTTCTAAAATGTTATATTATTTGAAAGAGACATTTTTTTATTCTTGACAGAGAATGAAAATAATATGCTTTAACAGTGTATAACGCGATATTTTTATTTAAATAGATTTCTATAAGCGTTATGGCAACGACTTAGGTACATCAAGTCCAATAAATCAAGTTTCAATATATTCAAAGTTTCCTACCGCAGTTTTGCACTTAAATCAATACCAACTTGCAGCAAACAATGTAAATATTTTATTCATAATATTTGGATAGCGATATAACTCAGACTTTGAACAAGTAGAACTGAGCTGAATTGAATTACTGAATTGAATTGAATTGAAATTCTGCTTAAACTATCAATTAACTCATCTAACTTAAGTTTGAGTGACTAGTATAAGCCAGTTTTTTTATAACGTTTATTTATCTGTTATATATTTTTTTCTTTAACAGTCTTATACAGTTAAGATAAAAAGAAAAAGAAAAGAACTTATGATGCCAAGCTGGATAAATTACATAGGATTTTCATCAAAACTTGAAAGTATACCGTATTATTCATCAACATTGGGTATATATTATTATTCAATAATTATTTACAAAAAAATTATATCAAGCTAACATTACAGTAATTTTTATGATATTGACAAGAAACATTTCCTCTTTTAAATGATCCTGAATTTCCAACGTTGCTTGCAAAAATAACAATTGAGCCTCAATTGTTTATCGTTCAAGTTGAAACTGATAAAAGGTATTTTATATTAAGTGTATTGAATTAGGTTTTAATTTATAAATAATTAACTAATTATTTAATTATAATCAATTCATCTTGACTTTTGAAAAAGAACTAAAACGGTAAGTATTTAAATTTTATATAATCTATTTAAAATGAAAATAACAATTGTAAAAAATAATTTAGGTTTTGAATTCGATTGGTTTAATCGGAGGTGCATGGGGATCTGCTGCAACAATTTATGCAATACTTTTTGGTAAGTTTATAATAATTTTAACAATTATAATTAACATCATTTGTTATGAATATTAATTATTATTATTATGTTTAGGTACTACTGCTATTAAGCCGTGGGGATGGATTCAAAAATATGGATTTAAAATAAATAAATCAGTACAAACAAAATTGCAAACAAGTTTAAAAGTTATTCCTCTTATTCATCATCCAAAAACTACTAATAAACCAAATATCTATGAATTAAAGAGAAGACTTGATTCATTGCAACTATTGCTAACGGAATATGTTGTTAATGTACAATATTTGGAAGAGATTTATAAAGCCAATTTAAATAAAAAAGGTAATTATATATATTACTTTAAAAATCAAATTTACATTGTTAAAGAATTTTTATTTATTCAAATTTATATATTTATTTTAGGCGCACCTTAAATTGTTTATAATTATAATTATTGATTAATATTGCTCTAGTAATTAAATAGGCATCTGAATTTATGCACCTTTTGTTATTAATATATTAAATTTAAGATACTTAATGCTTAAGAGCGTTCTTAAACGCCTTAATTAATGGTATAAGATGTCAGTTAAAAATTTTACTTAGTGGAAAATACTTTAATCATGTCGAATATGTAATAATAATTATAATTTGATAAAGTTTATTACACGAATAAAATATTTTTATTAGTAAAAACATGTTCAAAATAAGTTTGTCATTTCAATTTATAACTTTTATGAATGCTTACCATTTTTCAGCAGGCAATAAATTCTACAATTTCGTCGATAATTTCTTCATTTGTACAGTAATAAAATGTCAACAAAACTCCAAAACTAGTAGCGGCAACATTTGATAAATAAAAAAAATTTATATATTAATGAATCGCTAAAGTATTAATTGGATCATAGCTAAACGCATCGAGAGTAACGCTAGAGAAAACTTTGATTTACATATCCAAATTGTCATAACTATATCACTTCAAGGTTGAGGTTGGTGAATACCCAAATTTATCATGATTCAAAACTTGTAATTTGTAATTCGCGAGTTAAAATATGTAGGAGAGTTTACGGGTTCCGTTCATTCAATCGACAATCTGTTCACCGACAGTACGATTCACCGACAATCAATTCACCGACAAGTTCATTTCACCGACAATACGATTCACCGACAGTCATTTTACCGACAAAGTAATTTTGGTCATTGCCGTTAGGGTCAGGTTAGAATTAGAGTTAAGGTTAGTGTAATTTATAAAAAAAAACTTGTCGGTGATATAAACTTGTCGGTGAATCGTACTGTCGATGAGCTGATTTTCGGTAAATGAATCGGAACCGAATTTGCATATAAGCAAATATTACAATTAAGGGTCAAAACATTGTATAATGTATTATTTTATACATTTTATACTATATCTTCGCTTAATGATATTTAATGTTTATGATGCGTTAATCGAAGATATTTAAAACCGCAAAAACTTATTTGTGTTGGAAAATTTTGCCTGAGGGATCACCTAAATAGATATAATACTTTATTTGTATTCATTGAGAAAGTTAAATTATAATATTTACATGCAAAATCTAAAAGAATTAATGCAATACTGATTACATTTATATAATTTTATATGATAAAAACTTGCAATATTAGTTATGATAAATTTGAATCCTTGATTGCAATATTTTTCAAATTTTGGGCCCTTATTTCATTTTTGGGTCTTTATTTGTAATTATTTTCATTTTACGAGCCTTAAATATAAAGTCTTTCAATATATATATAACAATTAATAAAATCTTACTGTTCATGTTTAATTGAGTACTAGTAAAACTTTTTTGTGCAAAATTTAGAATCACAATTAAACAATTCTATACCATTAAAAAGTCTGCTGCTACCGTGTATTATGTATTATTTATTATTATTACGTTTTCTCTTGTATAATAAATAACCAAAAAATGATGCCATTCCAATTAATACAACCCCACTTACAATACCAATTCCAAAAAATAGCCCATTAACAGGTGAAGAATTTGAAGAACTTTGTGCTTTGTTTGTTGGGGTTTTTTGACCTGGTGAATCCTGGGTTATGGTCTCAGTATTATTTATGCCAACCCATGTGTATTTTTGAGTATCAAGAACATAAATATCTTTATTATATAAACCTCCAGTTGACGGTATCATTCCTAAATTTATAAAATTATTGAATAATTCTTAGTAATTTTATATTCTAGTTATTTTTATCATCAAACGAAGATGTTTACCAAATGCAACAATCATATAATTGTTATATAATGTAGCAGAATGAAAGGTAAGTGATTGTGGAGTATTTGCAGGAGGAATATCGGGTATAGACCATATCCAGGAATTTGTGTTTAATACACAGAGATTAGGAAGTACTTCTGGACCTAGTTGAGTAAGTTCCGAACCACCATAAATAATAATGTCACCATTTTGACCTGATATTAAAAATAAGTCAGAAAAATCGATAGACTATTAAATATTATATACAGATATATACAGCGTACTTACTTAAAACGGCCGAATGACCTATGCGAGCTCCAATTGAACTACCACCATTAACTGACTAAATTACAATATTAAAAATTTATAAAAATTTAAAATTAATTAGTTATATTAAAATTAATCAGTTATTAATAGGCGATTTATGTATATACTTTAGTAGACCAGATAAAAGAAGTTGTATTAAAAGTTCGAATCTGTATTTAATTAATAAAATTATTAAAATTAAATCAAGAATAATAGATTTAAAGTAATAGTATATAAGCCATGCCTCGCTCATCTTAACAGGAAGTTTTCCTGATAAATAATCCAATCCACCAATATAAACGATAAGACCAGTTGGTAACAATGTAGCGGTATAACAATAATATGGAAGGGCTTGGGGTATGATCAGTGTTGACCAGGACATAGTAGTAATATTGAGTATATTCATATCATTATAATAAGCTGCTGAAGAATTATCAGTAGCATTGGCATTAAAATTCGTTCCACCAAAGATAAAAACCCTTCTTGTATTATCAATAACAGCTTGTACTAAATTACGTGTATGAAAGGTAATATTTAAATTGGTAATATTCGGTATTGACCATAGAGAATTATTGTTAGGATCAAACCTATATACAGATGAATTAAAGGCAGGAATCGTTGTAAATGGAAGAAATTGCCTTCCACCAATTGTAAAAACGGCCGAATTATTAGTAGGGCTTACACAGGATGTGAAAAAATTCATTCCTACAGGCATTCCAACGTCTTTATACCATGTAGGAGTAGCAGTATTAAATAAGCTTGGGTTTGATAAATCAAGATACCATACTTCATTGCTAGCATTTAAGGTTAGCGAAGATCCACCAAAAAAATAAAACTTAGTACCGACTACTGCACTAGCTTGTCCCATTCGAACATCAGGAACATTTAGAGAATTTACATAACTTATAAGTGAAAAAGACAAAAGAAAAAGTCTAATAAACATTATTGAACCAAATATTATAATTTAAAAAGTTCTAATAAAATATAGCTGAGATCAAAATATATTGAATTTTTTGCAAGTTTAATATAAGCATTAATAATTGCCTTTTAAACTTTGGGGCTGAATTAAATGTGAATTTAAGAAAGTGTACGCATTTAAGAAAATTACATTTATGGAAACATCAGATTCCCGAATCTAAATGCATAAACAATTCATAATATTTGAAACGTACGTACGTACGTATGTATAGTAGATAAGTGCGCACATATTAAAACGGTGTTACGTATGACAAAACTTAATGCAAAAGAGTCAGTAATAAGGAGTTAGTTTTATCACATCGGAATATCTTTTATACTATCTTTATTTGCCGATTCGTTACATACATATCGCACTATTTTTATAGTACAGGAAAACATCTCTGAAGCACGCACAATAATATAAATTAGGCAAGAAAACAATGATATTTTATGAATACGTAAGAAAAAAGAAAATATAAAATGTTACGTAATATATATTGTTATTTGCTACTACGATAATTTATTTTTCGTGTTAGGATAAATATTAATTTAACCTGTCTACTAAAATGGGTAATACTGATATATTATACTAATATATTATACAATATATTATACTAATATATTATACTAATATATTATACTAATATATTATACTAATATATTGGATGTTACGATAACTCAAAATAGCATACAATCAAGCGTTTATAAATAATTCAATGCATCAAAGATTTTTTTAGTTTCAACTATATTATTACATATTTGTTATATACTTTTATTACAATTTTCACAACAACAACGCCTTACTTCAATATGTACCTTTACTTGTAAAAGTGATAAAATTGGTAGAACGAGAATATTTTTTATGCTTACGTATGTGCGTACATATAAAACTGTGTGGCTACTTATGCTGAGGACTCATTGATTTATTTATTTTATATAACATCCAGAAATACATATTAAAATTTTTGAAAAGTAAGTTAGATCAAGAAACATTCGCTTTAACAGTGATGAAGAGTTTTATGATCATAATTCTGGTTTTTCAGGTAAAGTATTCTTTTAATTATAGAATCAAATACTATACATTAGTTCAAGAATATTTATAATATTTTAGAATTATTTGCTTCATGAAATATTTACGTAAATAGGCTTTAATTTATATGCACACACTTTTTTGTTAAACGATAAAAGATTTTTACTAGCATTAATGCTGAATCTGGATTTGTTCTTCTTCCTCCATATGATGGATCATGGTATAATTGTACTAATGACATAGTATCCGCTTTTAATAAAAGTAAGTTTATTATTATCTTAGGTTTAATTTTTAAATATTTTTAATAAGACAAAGTATAATTATAGGCTTCAGTATTAAACTTGTTGATTACTCAACCTCTGCAACTCCGGGATTTGGCGGATATAGTTCAGGAAATTCTTCTCTTAAACGTATTCGTGGCATTGGTTTTCAAGTATTTTCAAATGTTGCAAATTCAACTGTGCCATTTACTTTCACTGAATTTAACAATCGTGAAGTTTATAATATGGTTGATTATTGTGGTACAACTCTAACTACAACTACTCAATGTGATTCTCCATTCATGGGATTTCCAAATCAAACTAAACAAATGAGATGGTGCCTGTATATATTAAATCCATACAATAATAGTCAAAAAGCATATGTATCATTCAGTCCTGACGAAACTTCTACAACTTCAACTAAAAATGATATGAGCATAAGTGGAAGTGGAATAACTAAGAATATAAACAATGAATATTTTTTATTAGTCCTATTAATATTATTTCAGATGCTGTGGGGAAATTTTTGTTAATTTGTAACTTTGACGATTATCATAGTTTATTGTAATGATATTGATATTAGAATGGTTTAATATATAATTCTTGTGTAGAATATTAATAATCTAAATAATAAAATTGAAAAAAGTTTTGAAAAAATTTTAGATTTTTATTTTAAATATAATTTTTGCAATTATTTTAGATTTTTATTTTAAATATAATTTTTGCAATTATTTCAGTTTCGATTCAGTACATATTAATGGTAAATTTTCAATTCTTTTTCTTTTATCAAATTCTTCAAATCTAAAAAAAAAAAATTCAAGTCTTAACTATCCATTATTTCATACGATGATTGCCTTTTCAAATAAATAAATAAATATACGTGTTTATAATTCTAACATCACAAGTATAAAAAATTTCGAAGGTATTACGTTATTATACTAAATACTAAAAATAAAAATTCGCTATAAATTGCTCTGTTTGGTTACTATAAAGTTAAGGTTAGTTGTATGTAGCAAAATTTTTACTTTTTTTCGCGTTTTTATTTTTTGGTTACACATGATCTGAAAATCTGATTGGCCAGCGAAAATTTTTATTATTGACATTTAACGCAATTTACGCGTTTCTCTATTTCTTATTTTACCTAACTAGAAAAAGACGCGTAAACTCAATTATATATCTAATATAAACTTAAATTTTACAAGATGGGTAATAAAAACAAAAGTTCCAAACCATTTAATTTTAATTTTAAATATTTTAATGCTAAACATACTAAATATTTATTTATTTGATAGATTTTGTTATAAAAAACGAATATGGAGAATTTTTGCTTGAAAACCGTGGATTAACTTACTGTACAACGAATAATTATAAAGAATCACTTGAAGAATTAAATAAATTTATCAGATTTGTACCATCTAGTATGATTGCTCTAAAAAATCGTGGATTAATTTACCTATCAATGGATAAATACGAAGATTCTCTTAGAGACTTTAACAAATTATTATATATGAGGCCAAATGATTCATTTACTTTATGTTATCGTGGATTAACTTATCATATGATTGGAAAATTTGATGAATCACTTGCTGATTTAAACAAATCATTATGGTTAGATCCAAATAATGCCTTTACATTAAGTTATCGTGGTGCAACTTATTATGAGATGGAGTTATATGAAAAAGCTCTTGAGGATTTAAATATCTCATTAAACATTTATCCATATAATGCAAATTTTTTATACCTTCGTGGTGCAATTTATCGAATGTTGGGTTTATATATTGAATCACTCGTTGATCTAAATAAATCTTTGGAGATTAGACCTAATAACGCATTAACATTGACAAGTCGTGGATTAACTTACTATATAATAGGAAATTATGTTGAATCACTAGCGGATTTTACAAAATCTTTAGAGATAGATCCAAATAATACATTCGCATTACGAATTAGAGGAAATATTTTTTATAAAATTGATAGATATACGGATGCTCTTATAGATTTAAACAAAGCATTTGAAATTGAATCAAATAACGTGTCGATAATAACTAGTGATGAAGTTTACGGAATGATTGCTAGATATAAGAGAATATGCTCGGATTTTACTAAAATTTTAAAAATTGATCCATATAACGCATCTAATTTAAAACATCGTGGTGCAACTTATTATGTATTGGGTAGATGTGAAGATTGGCTTACAAAATTTAAAAAATTTTCTGAAAGTAAGTTAACTGATGAACGGTTACTTAAAGGTAAACTTAGATATGAAGATGCTCTCTCAGATTTAAACAATTCTTTGACAATTGATCCTAATAATCCTGATACTTTGATGATTCGTGGTGCAATTTACCATATTATGGATAAATTTGATGAAGCGCTTGTAGATTTAAATAATTCTTTAGAAATTATTCAAAACAACGCGTCTGCATTAAGAATTAGAGGTGCAATTTACCGCATGAAGCAAAATGTTAATGAATCACTTGAAGATTTAAATAAATCTTTAGAAATCATGCCAAATAATGCATTAACCCTAAGACAACGTGGTGCTCTCTATTATTTTATGGATAAATATGATGAATCGCTCGAGGATCTTAATCGATCAATAGAGATTGCTCCAAAATACGCAATGGCATTGGGCGAACGTGGAAATACTTATAGGATGATGGATAAATTAGAGGAATCTCTCAATGACTTGAATAAGTCACTACTTATTTGTGCAAATGATTGTAAACTTTTGAGTATACGTGGTGCAACTTATTTAGATATGGGAAAATATAGGTTTGCTCTTAATGATTTAAACAAGGCTTTAGAAATTGATCCAAATAATATTCTTGCATTACTTTGTCGTGCACGTATTTATCGCTTAGATGGTGATTATGAAGATTCACTTGCTGATTTAAATAAAGCTTTAGTATTGTTTCCAAATGATCCTGATGTATTGGAAAGACGTGGAAGAGTTTATTTCTATATGGATAAATATGATGAATCACTTGCTGATTTAAACGAATCATTAAAAAGTAATCCCAATGATGCACATACATTATGTTATCGTGGAATGACTTATTATAAATTGATGAAATATGAAGAATCACTTGCGGACTTTAACAAATCATTAGAAGTCAATCCTGATAATACTTACTTGTTAATTCAACGTGGTATAACTTATCGTGGGATGGGTAGATATAATGATTCACTAGCTGATTTCAATAGAACATTAGAAATTAATCAAGATCATACGCTTGCATTATGCAACCGTGGTGAAACCTACTTCATGATGAAAAAATTTGATGAATCACTTGCTGATTTTAACAATTCGTTGAGTACCATTTCGCATTACCCACACGCATTAAGATGTCGTGGAAGAATTTATCTAGAGAAAGGAAGATATAATGAATCTCTTAGAGACTTTAACAGATCATTAGAAATTGAACCTGATGATGCAAGCACATTAAAGTCTCGTGCTGAAATTTTTCTTTTGAGTGGCTGGTTTGATGAATCAATTAATGATTTAAACAGATCTTTGGAAATCAACCCTGTTAATGTAGATGCTTTGTGTCTTCGTGGAGAAGCTTATCGTAAAATTGGTAGATTTAAAGAATCTCTTGTTGATTTAAACAAATCATTAGAATTAGATCCGTATAATGTGGCTGCATTAAGAAATCGTGGTGAAACTTTACTTGTTAGCGGATTTGAAGAAGAATCATTTGCTGATTTTAAAATGTCTGTAGAAATAATTTCATTTTAAATATAAAGCTTTATTAAATGTATCTTTAACGAAATAATAAAGTTGCTACCAAGAAATAAAGATAAATAAAATTTATAACATACACACTTTTGTTTGCTTACTTTAAATGTGTTGCATATACTATCTAATTAGTTGCGAAACGCAGCTTCGCTTGAAACTATAGATTCAAACTAGTATTTTATAAGCTTTGCATTGATTAAATATTAGAAATTTTAGAATTTTTTTTGTAATCAGATACCAAATATTTTCATTCATCAGCATGCCTCAATATTTACTTTGTTAAGACTGTTTCCAGTTTCTCCAGGGGTTTGCCTTTCGCTAGAGGTTTCGCCTTTAGCCAACTTAACCGTGATGTTTCATCTTACAACTTTCGCTAGGTTTAGGTTTCGTCTTTCGCCATTTTCACCAAATGGTTTGCCTAACTATAGGTTTGGACACAAAATACGAAAAAAAAAGAATACTTGATAATGGAAGTCATCACAAGTTTTTAAGAAAAAAATTTAGTGAACAACTAAATTAAAACGCTACTTGATATTTCTAACGGTTTATGAAACATACGTGGAGAGGATATATTTATTTCACAGTGGCAATATATTTTTGCAAAAATAAAGGGCATCAGTGAAAATATACAATCTTACATCTCAGATCCGAATTATCTAAAAAATATGATGAAAATGATTCAGTCATGCTCCTGAATCTTGGCCGAATCGCACAATGTTTCTCAAGATCATGCTAATGAAATCGTAGCTCATTTACCAAGTAAAAATACCTAACTGATAATTTTTCTATAACCTTGATTAGCTAGTATCGTTTAATGTCAGCTGCTGACGAGTAAAAAGCACTTAGATTTAATCAGTGATTATCGTTTAATCAACCCAATAAAAATCCTACAAAAAAAAATTCCAGTTAATAGATCCGAAATTTTAATCGGACCACCACTATTTTCTCTATCGTTTGTTATTGTTGTACGTCAAAATGAAATTTGTGTGTCAAATCAAAATTTCAATACTAAGTTTCATTAGGGTTAGGGTAAAGCTCTATTTTAGGTATTAGCGGCATTATAATTATTTTGATTGGACACATTTTTAATTTGACGTACAACAATCTCATTTTATTCGCATTAATTAGTGAATTGATCTTTGATCGATAAAGCAAAATATTTTTTGGTCAATCATTGAGCAATGATTTTTTTGTTGAGTCAATTCACTATCACAACTTACATATTTCGTATAACGACTAAAGTTTGGAACTAGATTTTGTTTTTCGATTCGCATTAAATTTAATTAATAAAAATATGCTAATCCGAATTTGTTTTGATAATATCCAGTTGTATCTAGGTTGATAGTAGCATCATTGTGTGCACATATATACATACACTGACAAAACATTTGATCACTCAAGAACAAAAACTATTATCGTTATAGAAATTCTATAGTGATCGAATGCTTTTGTTCCTTATGCCTTTGTCAGACAATGCGAGTATTGGATTCATATAAATTTTAAAAAATAGAGGGGTGGGGGTTATGTTAAACGAAGAATTAAATTGGTCTGGCCTAAATGTTGTATATTCACGGTATTTATAACCTTAAATCATGGACATTATTCGGTCTGTCTAGATTTTGTCGATCATGTTGCAGGTTTATGGAGTTTTCACAAAAATATGGAGAAATACGGAAATATTTGGAAAAGAATTTTTACAGGGTTAGAGTTCTAAGAATATCTTCTACGATGTTTATTAGAAGTCAAAAGCTAGTTTGCTTAGTAAAATATATAAGGATATTTATTACATTA